TGGAATGGGGCGCCTGATTTTCTGTACCTATGGCCCTTCCTAAAATGTAATGCAAGTTTCTGGTTGTGCTAAAGCCTGCTAGCAACTTGTTTGAAGTAACAGGCCCATTATAAAGATATCATTTAACATCCCTAATGTGAAGCTGATGGGATCATTCATGGCTTCAACGAAGCTGCTCCAAGCTTTCTTGTACAAGCTGCTTTACAGGTGAAAGTCTGTGTGAACAAGGACTTAGCAGATGGATTTCTGAGTAGGTCAGTGTTGTGTAGTACCAGTACAGGCTTGCCCATCACCCAGAGCAAAGATGTGGAACTGCGCCCCTGTCCCCCACGGCTAATGCATAGTGTAGAATACATGTACTGCCCTGCACCCATTTTCTGCCTGCCCATGGTTGGCATTGAGTGTAATGCCATACATGGTGGCCAGTTGTCTGTATTCTCACAGCTAGAAGGTAATTTTGCATGCACTTTTTTTTTTTTTTTTTTTTTTTGCGCTGGCTGTAGTCAGATAAGGTGGAGAGTGGGCATGTTGGAGCATGGTGAGACAACCCACTGGTTGTCAGCCACTTATCTGGAGCATGCGGTGGGTGCCACCTCCCACCAATGTGCCAAGGGCAGCTGCCCCTCCTGCTCACCCTTGTCCCAGCCCTGGTGTTGTGACAGTGATTACATATTAGTATTTATCAATTACTATACTCTTTATTGGTTGTTGCCTAATCATATAAAATCCTATTGATTATCAGGCAGCTGCTGTGAAAACTATTAATCCAAATGTGAAATAGAGTGTGTTGAGCAGAAGGCATGTACAGTTCTCTTATCCCTCATGCACACTGGATGTTTTTACAGTGGCTGTTTTTGGCTGTGGACGGTTTTTTCCTACAGCCAGTACACCCCCCAGCATGTTATCCTATGTGTCCATGCACACATAGTCTGTAATCAGCATTTTTTGGCAGGGACATTTTTTGGCTGAAAAAACCCCCCCCAGAACTAGTGGGTTTCTAGAGGAGTTTTTTAGCTGTAAAAACGCTCTAATGCTGAAAAATGCAGCACAATGCAGCAAACTGGTCAGAAAAACACAAACGTTGCTAAATCACGGCAAAACCGTGCTAAATGCTAATGCAGACACTCTAAAAAAGAAAGCTCTTTAAAAAAAAAAAAAAGCTGAAAAACTCACGTTTTTAATGTGATTTTACACAGCTAACATTACCAGTGTTGACAAAATGTCCCGTGTACATGAGGGCTTAAACATCCAGTAACCGCTATAGTTACAAAACATCAGGCTCCTTGTGTGATAGTTGTAGAGGAAAAGTTTGTTCTGCCTATAGAAACCAGTCTGTATTCAGAAACCCAGTATAAATAAAGAGGTGACAGCTGACATTAGGCTGGTTGTACTGGGCTTTAGACTTATTAGATGAAATCCAACACATTCGCTCCACTATCTACAATGGACTATAAAAGTTTTTAATTATGATTTTTAGGATGGAGAAGATTTTGACGGCAAACTTCCGTGTTCTGGTGGATTATCGCCTGTCTGTACATTTTGTTTTGGCTCTCCTGGAAGAAGGACGACCTAAGTTAAAAGCCTGGAAAGGGAAATATAAGTCACAAGAAGCAGTGGAATCCCTCCTCGCCGATTATAATGTGAGTCATAGGAAACACATTTAAGACTCAGCGGATATTTGTGGATGATTACAGATGTCAGTGCCTTCTTGCATCATGTACCAATGTAGGTGTTGGACCAATGTGAAGAGAACAGTCAAGATTCACACTGCAGCCTTATCAGTTAACCAGTTGGTTTTCATTGTTGTGGAAAAATGATTGGTTAGTGCAGATGATCCTTCCCTTCCATAATATCTGCGATTGAGAGGGCAACTGTCAAATGTTTGGCACAGGAAGAAAACTGCTGCTAAAGTGACTGCAGAGCTCAATCTCAGTGTTTAAGGGACTGAGATTGATCTCTGCAGTCACTTTTGCAGCAGTTGTTTTTTTTTATTCCAGGTCACAATACTGTGCATTGTCATTTTGTCTCTTTCGGTCAGTTGACCATGCTTAAGTACCGTATTTTTCGCTCCATAAGACGCACCTAGGTTTTAGAGGCAGGAAACAGGAAAAAAAAAATTCTGAACTAATGGACTGCAGACATAGTACAGGGATGGCCAGAGACTGCGGACAGCACAGGGATGACCAGAGACTGCGAACAGCACAGGGATGACCAGAGACTGCGGACAGCACAGGGATGACCAGAGACTGCGGACAGCACAGGGATGACCAGAGACTGCGGACAGCACAGGGATGACCAGAGACTGCGGACAGCACAGGGATGACCAGAGACTGCGGACAGCACAGGGATGACCAGAGACTGCGGACAGCACAGGGATGGCCAGAGACTGCGGACAGCACAGGGATGGCCAGAGACTGCGGACAGCACAGGGATGGCCAGAGACTGCGGACAGCACAGGGATGGCCAGAGACTGCGGACAGCACAGGGATGGCCAGAGACTGCGGACAGCACAGGGATGGCCAGAGACTGCGGACAGCACAGGGATGGCCAGAGACTGCGGACAGCACAGGGATGGCCAGAGACTGCGGACAGCACAGGGATGGCCAGAGACTGCGGACAGCACAGGGATGGCCAGAGACTGCGGACAGCACAGGGATGGCCAGAGACTGCGGACAGCACAGGGATGGCCAGAGACTGCGGACAGCACAGGGATGGCCAGAGACTGCGGACAGCACAGGGATGGCCAGAGACTGCGGACAGCACAGGGATGGCCAGAGACTGCGGACAGCACAGGGATGGCCAGAGACTGCGGACAGCACAGGGATGGCCAGAGACTGCGGACAGCACAGGGATGGCCAGAGACTGCGGACAGCACAGGGATGGCCAGAGACTGCGGACAGCACAGGGATGGCCAGAGACTGCGGACAGCACAGGGATGGCCAGAGACTGCGGACAGCACAGGGATGACCAGAGACTGCGGACAGCACAGGGATGGCCAGAGACTGCGGACAGCACAGGGATGGCCAGAGACTGCGGACAGCACAGGGATGGCCAGAGACTGCGGACAGCACAGGGATGGCCAGAGACTGCGGACAGCACAGGGATGGCCAGAGACTGCGGACAGCACAGGGATGGCCAGAGACTGCGGACAGCACAGGGATGGCCAGAGACTGCGGACAGCACAGGGATGGCCAGAGACTGCGGACAGCACAGGGATGACCAGAGACTGCGGACAGCACAGGGATGACCAGAGACTGCGGACAGCACAGGGATGACCAGAGACTGCGGACAGCGTACAGGAGATGACCAGAGACTGCGGACAGCACAGGCATGGCCAGAGACTGCGGACAGCACAGGGATGGCCAGAGACTGCGGACAGCACAGGGATGGCCAGAGACTGCGGACAGCACAGGGATGGCCAGAGACTGCGGACAGCACAGGGATGGCCAGAGACTGCGGACAGCACAGGGATGGCCAGAGACTGCGGACAGCACAGGGATGGCCAGAGACTGCGGACAGCACAGGGATGGCCAGAGACTGCGGACAGCACAGGGATGGCCAGAGACTGCGGACAGCACAGGGATGGCCAGAGACTGCGGACAGCACAGGGATGGCCAGAGACTGCGGACAGCACAGGGATGGCCAGAGACTGCGGACAGCACAGGGATGGCCAGAGACTGCGGACAGCACAGGGATGGCCAGAGACTGCGGACAGCACAGGGATGGCCAGAGACTGCGGACAGCACAGGGATGGCCAGAGACTGCGGACAGCACAGGGATGGCCAGAGACTGCGGACAGCACAGGGATGGCCAGAGACTGCGGACAGCACAGGGATGGCCAGAGACTGCGGACAGCACAGGGATGGCCAGAGACTGCGGACAGCACAGGGATGGCCAGAGACTGCGGACAGCACAGGGATGGCCAGAGACTGCGGACAGCACAGGGATGGCCAGAGACTGCGGACAGCACAGGGATGGCCAGAGACTGCGGACAGCACAGGGATGGCCAGAGACTGCGGACAGCACAGGGATGGCCAGAGACTGCGGACAGCACAGGGATGGCCAGAGACTGCGGACAGCACAGGGATGGCCAGAGACTGCGGACAGCACAGGGATGGCCAGAGACTGCGGACAGCACAGGGATGGCCAGAGACTGCGGACAGCACAGGGATGGCCAGAGACTGCGGACAGCGTACAGGAGATGACCAGAGACTGCGGACAGCGTACAGGAGATGACCAGAGACTGCGGACAGCGTACAGGAGATGACCAGAGACTGCGGACAGCGTACAGGAGATGACCAGAGACTGCGGACAGCGTACAGGAGATGACCAGAGACTGCGGACAGCGTACAGGAGATGACCAGAGACTGCGGACAGCGTACAGGAGATGACCAGAGACTGCGGACAGCGTACAGGAGATGACCAGAGACTGCGGACAGCGTACAGGAGATGACCAGAGACTGCGGACAGCGTACAGGAGATGACCAGAGACTGCGGACAGCGTACAGGAGATGACCAGAGACTGCGGACAGCGTACAGGAGATGACCAGAGACTGCGGACAGCGTACAGGAGATGACCAGAGACTGCGGACAGCGTACAGGAGATGACCAGAGACTGCGGACAGCGTACAGGAGATGACCAGAGACTGCGGACAGCGTACAGGAGATGACCAGAGACTGCGGACAGCGTACAGGAGATGACCAGAGACTGCGGACAGCGTACAGGAGATGACCAGAGACTGCGGACAGCGTACAGGAGATGACCAGAGACTGCGGACAAGCGTACAGGAGATGACCAGAGACTGCGGACAAGCGTACAGGAGATGACCAGAGACTGCGGACAGCGTACAGGAGATGACCAGAGACTGCGGACATAGTACAGGAGATGACCAGAGACTGCGGACATAGTACAGGAGATGACTGCTGACCTTTGGGGAGGGGGGGGGGGAGCGGGTACCTGAATTTGACAGGTACCCGCTCTTACTTCCGCGGAGTTGTTCTTTGATCTTACCTGTTCCTCTATCCAGCCGCGCGCTGTCTTCCCGGCTTCTGTAGTGTGGGCGCTCGGCATGACAGCCGGGTGCCCAGTGCGCATGAGCGAGAAGCACTTGCGCTTTGTGATTGGTCCGGCGGCTTTGGGATCTGTCATGTGTCCCAGGTACCGCCTTACCATTCACAAAAAGCACCCCTTCTTGCGCATGCGCACTTGGCACCCGGCTGTCAAGCCCACACTACAGAAGCCAGGAAGACAGCGCACCGCTGGATAGAGGAACAGGTAAGGTCAATGAACAACTCCCTGGAAGTAAGAACGGGTACCAGTCAAATTCAGGTACCCGCTCCCCAAAGGTCAGCAGTCATCTCCATAAGGTCCCGCTGCAGAGCTGAGTGGCCGGCCTGGTATTCTGACACGGCGGCGGTGGAAATACCAGACCGGCCGCTCCATATTCGCTCCATAAGACGCACTGATATTTTCCCCCCTTTTTTGGGGGAAAAAAGTGCGTCTTATGGAGCGAAAAATACGGTATATGACTGGTGCTTATACTTATCAGACGATGTTTTCCCACAAACTGTATATGTTATAACCTTATACTGTACCTCGTGACACTGCAAATAAATGGGCAACTACAGTCACAGGGACACAAGCTAAGTGGGCACCAACAATTTGCCCTCTTTGAAGCTCAGTAAGCTCTGATATGACTCCGTATTGTTAGCAGCGCAGACAGTAAATGATGAAAGTGAGGCTTCCCCCGTTTGCTAGATGTCTCATCACACAGCGGAAGCAAAAGAATGTAACATCACTTCCACTTTCAACGCAAAACTTTCACACCTGCACATCCTGTAGTGTTTCCATTTTTTTGTCCAACCCTTGTATATACTGTATGTAAAAGTGCTGCATAAATTGATGGCACTATATAAATATCTGAAATAAAAAAATAAATTAAATAACTTTTTTTTTTTTTTTTTTTAATTTTGTCATGATCATTAAAAACCAAAGCAAATAAGTAAAATAAAAAAAAAACAAGAACTATACATTCCTTTTGTGCAGCTATATAAAGTACCCAGACAGTCTCAGTGCATTATTCTTTGCTATTCTGGGACTGTAACACTCATTTGTATACACATATAGAGGCTATTTATGATCCTGCACAGATTTTTGGATAGTGTGACGGTCAAGTGAGGACTCTGTATTATCACTGTCAACAAAGATAATGAACCTTCACTCAATTACTATTTCTGATCCACAGGAATTTGTTGGTGAGAGAGAATTCATGGTTCATCTTGAAAATGCATTTCAAAAGTTCAAAGAACTACATAACCAACTTCTGACTACAGAAGAATATTGTAAGTAAATACTTAACTCTGCTAATTTACATTTCAGACAGCAATCCACCTTAAAAAAAATGCAGTTCTTGGTTAATAGTGGATCTGGACTGCTCCAAATATTTTCCTTGGCAGGATTTAGCTTCCTAGAATTGAAGGGATTTTCACTTTCTTCTTATGACCCTCAAACCACTATACATGGATATCCACGCCATTCATGTTAATTAGCCTCTTCCTGCTGCTGGTCACCTCCACATTGTTCATTTATCACCACTGAAGGAGATGAAGGTCAGTGAACAGCTGAACGGTGAACAGCATTTGGAAGTAGCTTAATAAACAATTAAATTAACGTTATGCATATTTATAAGTTTGGCAAAATAGACAACATAAAGCAAATCAAATTTCCGGCATGATCTATTCCTGGAGTTTTATGGTAGGCAAGAAGACACAAAGTAAACCTCTTGAGACTAATATCAAAATAAGTGCAGCATTATCAATATATGAATAATCCGTGATAAACTCTTAGAATACAAGAAATTAAAAAAAAAAACAGAAGTCCTCTGAAAAGTGAACCCTATGTAAAGGAACCAATATTCTGAAGAGTGAACTTAATCGCTGGTATAATAAATGCGAATTCAGTAACAAAGTCTTCTGAAGAGTGAACCCAATATAGAGCAATAGTCCTCTGAAGAGTGAAGTCAATATTTAGTGTAGAAAAATATGTTAGTGACTCCACTAACACTGTTTGTCCCCCACCATAACAGACCACTCTGAAGCTTACCAGAGCATATGTGACCTCCGCATGAGAAGTCACAAACTAAGTTTTCATGTCCACACAGTGGCTCTTGGAACAATCTTTTGCCTTCAGATTGCTCCCTCAGTGTTCAGTAGCAGTAACTCCTCATCATAGATGTAGTGGAATGCAAATATTACCTCCCTTAGTGTAAATCGAGTTGCTACATTTATTAAAAGCAGTTCAAATCACTTCCAAACGAATGGCATGAAAAACTACATTTCCCTGGATCCTCAATGGTGCATGCGTAATGACGTCACGGCTTCCGACTTTTTAATTTTTTTTATTGCAAGCATTTTAAGTACCTGAGTTTCATTGGCATCAGCCTGTAGCAATTCCTTATGTACAGCAACACTCAGTTGTGCATGGAGCATGCTTATGGAAGACGAGAGTGGAGTGATTGATGAACTCAACAGTGTCCTTTCACTATCCAGACAGGTTGACGTAGAAAAATTTCCTGTGTTACTTAACTGTAGCTGAGAAAAATCAGATCTGTGCCACAGAGAGTTTTATTTTTTTGGCACAGATCTGGATGGACAAATATACAAATCTTTTGGTAAAAAACACATCTGGGGTTAGACAGTATAATAATCCTTTTGACATTTTAAATATTCATTAGTTCAGAGTGCAATTATATATTGCTCCCTTGTCCAATTTACAGTATCTGGAATGCACTGTACATGACATAAATTAATACAAATACCGAAAGATAGAGGTAGATTTTAGTGCAACAATTTTTAAACTCTGTAAGATCTTTCTTATGCAAAAAATAAAACCTAATTTTGTTTTTGATTTTCAGCTGATGATCCAGAGATTGCAAAACAGTACAAAAAGATTGAGGCAAAGTATGAAACATTTGTGTCGTCCACTCAGGAGGCAAAACCTGTATTGGAAAAAGTTCTAACCTGCTGGATTCAGTTTGAGAATAATATCAGCCTTATTACAGCCTGGCTGGATGAGCAGCACAAGATACACCCTGGTGATGTACGTATGCTCAACATCAGAGTGTTTCTGTGTATTACAAATAACCAATTACGTCACAGGCCAACCAATCCATGTATCTCAAATTTTTATTTGATGCCTATTTTGGGCCAATTGTCCTATGAATTTATTGGTAGATCATACCACCCACTCTGTAGCTTGGCATGCTCTTTGTTAAGGTCCATATGCACCCAAAGTACAAAAAGCCAAAAGCTCCTGCGCGTGAGTAGGCGAAATTCAAGTGGATAAGCCAAGCTTTGCTGCTCCTGTATACAACAGGGGAAGTCAGGAGTAACTGCAGGAAAAAATGGAACAAGCGCACTGGCCATTATCCCAGATAACTAGCGCATTATCCCAGATAACAGATTGTTGGATGAAAGTTCAAAAATTCTCACAAACAATAAGTGACAAATCACACAGCAAATTACAATCACTGGAAATATGCTCCATATGGCACCAAGGGCCCCGACATATAAGAAGTGCCATCCAAGGGCCCAAGAAAGGCTGATGCGTTCCAAGGAAAACCCTCTTCCTCGGCAGAGGGTTGCCCTTGAAATGCTTCAGCCTATCTTTGGACCTTGGATGGCACTTATATGTCTGGGTCCTTGGTGCCATATGAAAAGAGGAGAAATCTCAGCGCACAAATGGCTAATGTCCACTGTTTATATGTCCACAAGTCCAAATAAAGTCTATGGCTAGTAACTGCTTCAGATAGTCATCCCAGAGTAAGCCAACTCTGTATAGAAAAAGAAGTTGTTTAAAAATCCCATCAGTAAACCATTTCTGTGTCCTGCAGGGGTCCATCTCGTGGGGTGCAGGCCGCTTAAGACGGTGACAGGGTCCTTGGCTGCCTGGGACCTTGTCACTACTCACCACGGGACCGTGGGATCCTCTACAATCTCCAGCAGCCTGGTTTACTGATGGCTTTTTACATTTCTTCACATTGTGAGATTTACGATTGTGGTCTATTAAATATTCCTTGCATACTGCAGTAAGAGGGCGCCTCTCTTTTTCCCTTGGTGCCATATGGAGAATATTTCCAGTGATTGTCATTTATGTGATTTGTCACTTCTTGTTTGTGAGCATATCTGAACTTTCAATAAACTGTTATCTGGGATAATGTGCTAGGCCAGTGCGCTCTTGTTCCATTTTTTCCATATGCACCCAACTCCAGACTTCCCATCCCATATTGCTGGCCTGTTCAGGCCCCATCAACAGCGGTGCCCTTCATGCAGTCTTCTAAGGAGGTGTGAGACATGCTCTGTGGGCCTCCTGTATCTCCTTATTGAATGTGTCCAGCCCACACTGGAAAGATGCACAATATCCTCTCTTGAAGGACTCGAAATTTAATGGGTGAATACATAAATTATATGAATAAATATATAGGTGTAGAGTGGTGCACCTAATGTGTAGCCCAAAAACATGCCATCAAGAATGTGACTAAATATAAGTGATAGTTGATATAAGTGAAACAAATATTAACCAAATATAAATACATGTGATCCTAAATGAACAATATTCATAAATCATATAGCACAAAGTCCCAAACGTATAACTGTGATGAATCAATCTTCGACCGTGAAAATTAATACGTGCTCAAGTGCGTCAGACCATCTGTCACAGTCTAGCGTGCACGCTTACCTCCAATCTTTGACCCTCAAGGAGTCATAAGGAATAACAAATTGCCATTTAGTCCCAGGTGGGGTGAATCTCACTCTCTGGATGGACACAGGATCAGCCTCCACACAGCCCACGGTTAATCAACCATTACTAATGGTAAGGCACCTTTACAAAACTCCTCCACTCTCCCAATGGCTCATAAACAGGGAATCAGAGAAAAAGCCACCATAGTGTAATAAAGTAACTTTTATTATACCATACACAAATGCCAAAGACCTACTCACACATTAAAATCGGGTCATAGTCACACCAGGCATGAACTGTATAACCCACAATCAGGGTACTTGCATAGGGAGTACAAAGATTGCTGCCGTCCATGCGTAATTGCGTCAACACACTCTAGTCCGACATGTTGCATCACGATAACACGTAACTTCTCCAGGGATCACACCAGTTACTTTACATTATTTGATGGCGGTTCTTCCAGGGTGCTCTACATCTGAACTGCTAGCATGAATAATGCTTTCAGAGTTTTTTTTTAGTTGGTGACATAGTTGAACAGTGATGTAAGGCACAGATAACAAATCAGAAATTCCACACAATGACAGCAATATCTGTTGTTTAAACATTGCTGTATCCTGGTTGCTGTTTTTCTAGACGTGAGTAATAT